TCTGTACGGTTTTGAAATCCTCGTGTTTGTCGTGGTCAGCCTGTACAGAAGGTAAATACAAGTCTGTTCTGCTGTTAGTTTCACTGTAGACCTGATACAAGCGGCTAAACACGCCCCGTCAAGTTTGATCGTCTTTCCCATTGACAAACACAGAGTCAGTGCTGTGCGTGTACGTCCTGCTGCAACTGCCGGTGGAGCTGCCTTTGCGTTGACGCACGACTCTGGTTTTGCAAGATAACGACACGGGTGCATCCTCCATCTCCAGGCGGCCCTCTTCTCTTCTACTTGCTATTTCTACACGTGACATGCAGCACTCTCCCTCCACACCTCTTCTTTTGTGCCAAAGTGAAACAGGTCACATACAGGCACGAGGCTGCAATGCACAAGCCGGGAACCATGGAGGCCGTGCAGTATGCACACGTCCCGAACCGTGAAGTACGCACACGTCCCGAACCATGACAAGCGAACCGTACCGAATGTTTTTTTTGTCTTTTTTTCATGAACCATGCCAGCCCTAACTGATACTGGTATTTTTGAGCTATAAAACTACCTGTAATTCTGTAATCAAATAAATGTTAAGTAGAGCTATTTAATATCATACTGTGGAACCTTCTAGGTTCCTAGAGCAGTTACATATCCATAGAAACAAGCAGGTGACAGACCCTCCTCCAGAACAGTTACACAATGCACTTTTAAACAAAAAGTGATAACAAAACTCGTTATGTTGCTGTTGTTTATCTCTGAAGTAACTACAGAACAGCTTTGTGTAAATACTTTTTAGGTCAACTACAACCAGCAAATAGTCTTATTACATGAATTTATTTGCCCAACCATAATATCAGCTGAATCAAATATCAGTCTCTGCTGGAGATTTAAGACCGATAGCTGATACTCTTAAAAGTGCAAATATCGGCCTCTGTCTCTAATTTATATAAATACTTTGCGAGGTGATTGGTTGAGAACTTGCACAAACAGATAGCAGGGGCAGTGGATCTCAATAGTTTTGTTCAGATGGGATAATAAAAATCGATATTTATGCTAACATGCTTTTCCTACTCAGTAGTAATGGTCGACTGACTGACTTGGTCTCGTGCAACTTTGAAACAGATCCCTTATCAAAACACTCATCTTTGCTATGCTCCAGTTTTCTCTCATGTGACAGTCATGTGTTGTTTTCTGATGTGTTTATGACCTGATTTAGCACATGAAACTCAGCTCTTCTGTATCATGCATCAGAAGACTGTGTCCAATGATTTTATGCATTTAGTAATTACAATCAAATCTAATCTGTAATTTAAATGGACACAAAAGCTGACATTTTTCAAGTACCGTAATTGTCCGGTCATACTCTGCATAAAAACTGCTAATTCTATAGTTTAGATCTGTACCAAAAATGTGCTCTGAAATGTGACTCCTGAATTAGCTCACGTCAATTCTTCTGGACGCGTTAAGAATGTGAATAGAATCTCATTATGAAAGTATAAATTGCAAATCTGCTAGTCAGAAAAAGTGCAATTACATATTTTTCCCAAATCGTTCAGCCCCATTGAGTAACATATATACTGTACTTTAGAAATCGCTCTGTCAGCTTCTGTTCCTGTTATCCTGAAGGTAGCACTTGACCAGCACTGACCCCTGCTCTGGGACACTGGGCCTGGGTCGATAAGAGTGTGGTGTCACCTACCGCCAGTATCACCTCACCAGGACCCGGTGTGGAAGGAGGAGAGAATTGGACTCAGTATGGTGGTCTAAGGAGGAGGTGAAGGAGAAGAGAGGAGAGATAAGGCTGAAAGGGAGAGAGAGATGGATGAGGAGAGAGAACGAGTTCAGAAAGGCTAGAAATTGCATTCATCATTGTCAATTGTCAAGTGAGAGTGTTCTCTAATAATACAGCACTTCAGGTCATATTTATAATTCAGTAGGGCTATGCAAATAATGACACACTATCAAAATTGAAATTCAGTCGATTCTTCTTGTCAGTGGTCAGCTTGGGTCTTTTTAAAGCCACAGTATGATATTATGCAGGTGACAGGCCACCTCCAGAAAGTTACATACTGTATCTTTGAACAAGAGGTCCACAGCCAGTCCTGTCAGTAAAAGCAGAGTTTGGAGCAGAGTTCAGACTTTGGAGGAAGACATTTATCTAATGGCTCTAATTTAAAAGTGTGTCTACTAGAGCCCGACCGATATATCGGCTGGCCGATATTATCGGCCAATGTGGGCACCTGGAGGCATATCCGCTATCGGCCGATATGCTTGCTGATATGGGCCGATTATTTCACGTGGGCATGTTATACCTCGTTATAAATCTTAGACTCTCTACATTATGTTCATTTAATCCAATTTATAGACAGATAAATGTCCTAAATATGTGGCTCCGCATCAGTATTTATTTGCGGTGTAATTTGTCTGTGTCTGTGTCCGTACTGTGCTGTGAACAGACGTGTGAATGATCCACATTTATGCATATAATTAATTACCGCGGTGCGCACGTTTTTACGGCTAAAGGCTAATAGCGGTAGTTTCTTTACTATTTAGGAGTTATGGGTCGGTCGCGATCGAAGCGGCTCTTAGATCCGGCTCTTTGAAGTGAACGACGGGAGCCTGTTTCTTATTGGGAGCCGTGTTTTCTCTTTTTCTCACTTTTTCTCTTCAAGCCGCTTGTAGACCCGTAGTTTGACAGCAGCAGCGGCTGAAAACGAAACTTTCAGAAATCTGCGTGTGCATAGGATTAAAAAAAAAAAAGTGCATATTTGGCTGTAGTTCAACATAAAATGAATAAACCAAGACTAATCTTGGGCTCGAGTGAGGGAGAGACACTCAGTCCTGGTTCAGTTCTGGTTTAGTCCTGTTTTACACATGGTTTAAATTGTTTTAGTCCTGGTTTAGTCCTTTTTCAGTCCTGGTTCAGTTCTGGTTCAGTCCTGCTTGCAACAAAACAATCTCAAGAGTCGCTTGGGAGCCGAAAGAGCCAGCTGCTTTAGTGAGCCGAGCCAAAAGAGCCGGTTCTCAAAAAAACAAAAAAAACAAAAACTGGAATACCCATCACTAGTAGCTAGAATGTGATGCAAAAATGCCATTAGGCCAAACTACTGTATGTAAATATGATGTAAAGAGTCAGAATAACAATAAATGTTGCCTAAATAAACCCAATTTAGAATCCAGTAGAGCCAAACCTAAGTTTTTTTAAACAATTCAAGATTTACAGTGAATTTTTACATCACTAAATATATCGGCGATTATATCGGCTATCGGCAGTGCCAACTCCCATTATATCAGTTTCATATCGGCCACAACAAAATCCATATCGGTCGGGCTCTAGTGTCTACCTGTGTATGTTCATTTATTTTTGAAAAAGTTGTTAAAAAATTTCTAAAGTAAAAAATCTAATTTAAAGTCTTGATTTATCAACGAATACATCATGAATGAATCAGGTTTTTATGACAAAACATAAGTCTCAAGTTATGACCTGCTTTAATTGTGACATTATTTTAAACATATACTAAACAGAGCCCACTTATTCTTAAACGGTCTTGTCTTTGTTGTGAGTGAAGCTTTACCCTGTAAAACTGCCTTTGTTTTTCTCCATGTTGTGAACATCTCTTTACGTTCCAGTGCAGTGTGTCACCTGAGTGTCAAGTTGTTTACATGTTGAGGGTCACCATGTGAGGGCAGTGTGGTGCTTCACTGTCATAAACACTAACAGATTTGTTGACTCAGAATGCATTGTTTGGTTGTTATGGAATGATAATAACTTCAGAACTACATAGACCACAATCCTTTGCTCTGTTTCACTGCTGCTAAAAAGATCACAACCTATAAAGTTATTTAAGGGTCTGTATTACACCATTTTCACATCCCTGTTATAATGTTTTCTTATCTAAAAACACACCATACAGTTTCATTCACACATGTTTAACACAAAAACTCTGTATAGCTTCTCTCAAGCAGAACCTTGTGATGTCATGTGGTAATACAGGAAGTGTTCCACTGTGTTTTTAAACTTTATACACCTTCACTAGAGTTATTTGGGTTATTTTAGCTCTGGAATTGCAAATCTCTACTGAACAAAAGGCAAAAGGTAGCCGCTAACTTGAAAAACTACCACTTCATGACATAAGTTGGAACAGAGTATTTTGTGTTTTGGAGATATAGACTGACTAATAATAAAGGATTATTCAAACATATGTGAATGAAACAAAACACAACTCCAAGTATGTTTTTGAGGATATAACAACATTCTAACATGGTTAAAAGCTCACACCTGGACCTTTAATTGAAAATCATTATGTTATAGATCAGACATCAGCACTGATTCATCAGCCAGTTTCACTTTGTAGAAACCGTCTGACCTTGCAGTGTTAGAATATGTTGGCTCAACGGTAGGCGGGTACTTTTTATCATTTAACCAGTCGCTGCTATTTGGTCATGATGTATGTAATGCGCTGCTAATGAGGCTAACTGGTATATTAAGCTTTTCCCAAATCCCGTTAGGAAGAAGGGCAATAACGTCTTTCCCCTTGATGAAATTCACCAAACATTCTCTTAATTCTGGCTTTAAATCCTCGATCTCGGAAATCGTTAACAACACAGAATGTATGGCTCTTTGCTGATTGGCTGGTGTCCAGACTCGCACTTCTGGGGTTTTTGCAAACCGTCTAGTGTATTCTGATTCCTGACCTAGTTGAAGGAGAGAAATTAAATTGAGCGAAGGCACTAGGTGGCACCAGCCTGGCTACTTAAATACTGTTTGTAATGTAGAATTAGTATTCCGTCAAAGGAGTAAAGCAATTTCTAATTTAACATTACATATCTCGAAAGAAGAGAAAACATGTAGATGTTGTTGAAATTTTTCTATAAATATTTAGTTTAGCCTATGACTTAGGCCCAGTTTTAATTTTGGCCCTTTGTGAATTTGAGTTTGACCCCCCTGTTATAGATTATTAAGTCTTTGTTTTAATATTTGTAAACAGCTAAAATGTATCCCCTCCTTCTTCCAGATCAAGAGTGAGAGGACAGACTAGCTACCCAACTTCAGAGTGAGGATCCTGGGATGACCGTGCTATTCCCCCTCCCTACACCCCCCTCCAGACCACCAGGAGGGGCTCCACTACTCTGAGGTAAACAGACTCCCATCCCAAACTCACATGCACTGCAAAATCTAAACTCTAGCCAAGTTAAAACGACTTGAATTTAAAACATCTTATATTGATTTTAGTAAATTTCACATGACAAGTAAAATTATCTACCAATGGAACGGGTCTTTTTGTAGTTGAAACAGGAAAATACACCAAGTGAAATCTACTCAAATCAAGTTAAATCTTCTTAATTTGAGTCATTTGAACTTACATAGATATTACTTTTTGCAGTGTACCTCATCTCAGACAGTATTCACCTTGTTGTCTTCTTAGTAGGGGACATTGGGGACGGTCTAGTCACGTTTATGAAGATCTAGGTCTTTGAAGTGTCCGCTCAAGGGCTTGTGTTTTGGGAGATGGATGACAGTGGGAGCGTGTGGAGCAGAGGGGTCAGAGGTCAGAGTCCATGGCGGGCGCGGATTGGGTAACAGCAGGTGTGCTCGTCTGCTTATTTTGGACGCAATCTAATTTACAGAGTGTTCCATCCCTAAGAAGATGAGAAGGCGGTATTGACTTTCTGAAAATGTAATAAAAACGCTGGTCTTTGTTTAAATGTGGCTCTTGAGATAGTAACATGGTAAAAACAGCTATAGTAGGCCTGCCTTTAGGCGTTTTATTCCACCTCCACCTTCCTTATTTAGCTGGAAGGAGAAATTAGTAAGTAAGGGTGTTAATTGAAATTTCTATGTAAAAAGGCAGATTTAACTTTATTCATTTAAGTTTCAAGGGGCACTATGTAACTTTTTGGGTCGGGGTCGGTTGTTTCTATGGATATGTCACTGTTCTGCCCTGAATGTTCCACAGTATGATATTAAACAGTTCTACCTTACATTTGTTCAATTACAGATGGGATTGTAGCTCAAAAATGCCTAAAAAAACTAATATTTTGACTGTGAGCAGGCTCTCCTCTGTATAGATCTGACCTGTAACTTGGTCTGGTTTGATGTCCATGAAGATAGAAAAGTGTAATACCATACAGCAATGACATCTCCATGGAGAAAAGAGTTTGACAGACCCTGATTCACAAGTTTAATTCTATGGTGGAGGGTCCGCTACTTGCTCAACTTCTTTGTTCAACTTTCTTTGTTCTTTGTTTCCTATGCTTTTTCTGTATAAATAATTGTTTTTGCATGAACTCGGCCTGCAGGTGTAGTCTTGTGAATGCAATTTGTGTACACATAGATGCGTAATAGTTTTGAGAGCTTCCCCTTTTTAGTCAACCAATTCACAGCACCAGAAATAGAAGTAACAAAACTGCTCAGATTCAGTTTTTTTTTTTTTTTCCCCCTCATGATGTTCAGCAAGGCTGCAATAATTGTGCAATGACATTTTCTTTTTCTGTGTATTTTGCCCAAAGCTACAAGATGTTGTCATTTTGTAGTGTTGTATCTAGTTCATGTAGATGTTATGGCTGTTTTGTTTTGCAATTACAGCTTTTCTCTCAAATGACTTGATAGATATTGATATATTTCATTGCACAATCCACATTTTAATACTTTCTGGAGCATTAAGATCTGAGAGAACACTTGCTATTGTATGATGCATGATGATGGGTTTTTGAAATTATTCCATCCCCTTATTATTTTTTGTGATGTATCTTAATAATAGTGTGTTATACGTATGTAGACAATGCCTCCATGTGTAGAAAAGACACCAGCAGAGGGCTCTAAACCTGCATCTGCTGGCACTGTGGAAAAGTAAGCATTTTGTACAAGGGTGGCCAAATCTTCTTGTCAGAGCCTGAGCGTGTCAGGTCTCAGAAACTAAGTAGGGCCAGGCCTGGTTAGTAGGCAAGGCAAGGCAGGGCAAATTTATTTGTATAGCACAATTCGTACACAAAGTGCTTTACAGAATAAGGAATGCATTAAAATCACAATAAAACAAATGAAAAAGAGAGAGAGAGATTAAATTAGAGAGAAGAGTGCAGAGTGAAAACCTACTACTTGGATCGGAGATTATAAAATCAGGTGCAAGTGAGTCGGCAGTGGCAAAAAAAAACAAAAAACTCTTGTGTCCTTTGGCAAGACACTTCATGATCATGTTTTTATATAGCACTTTTCCACTTCCAAGGCACTCAAGCACTTTACACCAAGGAACCACTCACCCATTCACACAAACATTTAAACACCAGTGTACACAGACACTGAGGGCGAGGTGGGTTAAGTGTCTTTCTCAAGGACACAACAACAGCATACGTCTGTGGGAGCTGGAAACGCACCGCGGACTTGTGGGCCAGTGGATTTGACCACTCAACCAGTGATGTTTATGTCAAGAATTCGAACCGCCAACCTTCGGATCAGTGGACAAATGCTCTACCAACTGAGCTGATGTTGGCCAATAAAAACAATAGCTTACCATCACCGAGTGTGGAATGAATACATGCTTATAAATTGATTCTGAGCATTTTGGAGTTCTTGGGTATTGTGACTTGGACAAACATGGCCCTTAATATAGTTCTGAGTAAAGTTTGACATTGTCTGCGTCACAAAACTGTGCCTTATCTTTTGCATCTTCTCATAAAGCCTGTAGGACATGTGCTGTGATTAAAGGAACAGCAGCTGTCTTCCTGTCCACAGTGTCCATAGAGTCCATTACCCTCCTCTGTCCCTCCTCTGTTCTCTGCACTCAGACCAGCTGTCCCCCTTCCTCTCTCCCTCTTTCTGCCTCTCTCTCCCGCTATCCCTTTTTCTCTCCGTAGCACAATGCCCCAAAACAAGGTCACGTTTCACAAAACTGTATTTCTGCACTGTTGGGTAGGTGCCAGAGAGTGGGAGAGTGGAGTTCTGACATTCACAACAACTTCTAAAGCTGTAAAGAATGCAGTAAAATTGTAATATACAACTTGTTTTAGTACCAGACCGTTTTTATGTTTAGGTTAGCTTATTATGCTGCTTCACCATATGTTTTGAAGTCTAATGTAATATGTTTAAAGATACAATTTCTAACTTTTCTGGTAGAAGGTCTGCTACCTGAACTGTTCCAAGGTATGGCATTTCTATAACCATAAAATGTAATTAAAATCAGTAGCTGACAATGCTGTGATGTTTGTGTGAAGCGATAGCGCTCTGAAGGGGGAGTGACTTAACGCAGAGAGCAAAAGGAAGAGGGGATCAGCATTAAATACGTTATTTTTGGTGAATATAGCATTTTCAAAACAATAACTAGAAAAGCACTCAGAGAGCGCAGACCTCCGCCAAGGACTACAGTCCCCCTCATATTAATTGTGTTTTCCATAAATATTTGTCTCGTATCTTTCAATTTGGAATTTGAAAGAGGATCCGATTGTCCATCCCTGAGTCAAATTTCATGGGGTTTGGTCAATAATTAACCGAGATATTGAGAAACAAAATTTTTGGCCCCATTTACCACAATGTTAACTAAAATTTCAAAGTGATCCAGAATCCAGGATTTCTTCCGGATAACCCCCAAAATGAAATCAGTTCTTCCTTTTCACATTTCCAACAAATCCTGAAAATTTCATCAAAATCGGTCCATAACTTTTTGAGTTATGTTGCTAACAGACAAACAAACAAACAAACAAACAGACAAACGCCGGCAAAAACATAACCTCCTTGGCGGAGGTAATAAGTAACGTGGTGATCTAAGTGAGGAATAACAAAATTAACTGGCTTTGTTTTTCACAATTTAAGACCATAAAAACCACGTACAGCACCTTTTATATTATCAACATAAACTTTTGTCACTTGTAGACTTACTCACAGTGGGAGGAGAAACCACAGCTTTTACTCAAGGTAGAGTGCTGTTACTTCAGACAAAATATGACTCAAGTAGATGTCTGAAAACTACTATGAGAAGTGCAATTCTTTCATAAAGTTGCTCCAGTAACAAGTTAAAATGCTCGTATTAACCCGCTCCGCATGGTCCTGGTGTTTTCATTTCTCTGTTTTGTCTGTAAATCAATTCCTTTTCCTAATGTAGAACTCAACTCCACATTTGCTCCTATGACTGCTACTATCGTGAGCTTCGTTTGACTGGAGCTGAACGCTATGAGTAAGGTCATACTCCGTTAGTTCATTTCTTTATCCAGTCTATGCTTGTCTCCCAAATTTCCTTATAAAAACGCTTTGCCAAGTCATCCCAGTGGTCATCTCTCTGCTCTTTGTTTCAGTATAATTCAGTTCTGTGTAGAGGCCTGGTTCATTGTTAGCGTCTGAATAGCCCCTGACTCACTGTTCGCTTGACCTTTTCAAAATGTGAAGTGTGAAAGAGCCACTGTTTGTTTGTCCTCTCTGGGCCTCTGTAGTTATGTGGTCAGAATGATCATTTGGTGAGGGCTCCATAACTCTTGTGTGGACCTTTGACCCGCACCCATGTAAATCCTATAGGCTACATTTGGAAAACTAGACGCAGAGTTACCTTGAACGTAGGTTTTGGTTTCTGGAATGCTTTGAAACATCTCAAAATTGACTTTTGTGAGCTTTAAGACGTGTTATAATGTTGTTACCTCATCAAAAACATACCTGGAGTTGTGTTTTGAGTAATCATTTGTTATTAGTATGTCTATGTTTCCAAAACTCAGAATGCTCTCTTCCACCTTGTGACGTCATGAAGTGGTAGTATTCAAGTTAACAGCTATCTTTTACCTTTTGTTCAGCAAAACAACATTGATCTTAAAGATGCATTGTATAATTTTTCTCGAGAGTCCTTAACCTGTTTGTCTCTTTGTAGATATTAATGCTTTGGTTTAAATTGTCCACAGCATGGTATTAAATTAAATTGCATTTATTCAGCTACAAGTGTTATTTTTTGCTCAAAATATCTTAAAAAACACTAGTTCTTACTGTGAGTGGTTGACCTCACTTTATCTCACTACGTGGCGTTAAAAAAAAAACTGAAGCCAATACAGCTGTGCAGACTTTTTTCCTTATGACTGTTGCTCTGAAAGCTCTCCCCTCTTCAGTTGCGTGTCCCTTGCGTGCTGTTCCCGTCTCACATGACCGTGGAGCATGAGGTTATGTTGG